TAGAGGGATGATGGTGGGGTCACTAGCAGGACTGGCTCTGAGGAATGGAGGGCTGAGTGGACACCGCATTGGAGCCAGGCTTAGGGGTCTTTAGACATATGAACTGACATGGGGAATAGCTAAGCAACCCAAAGCAAGGACTCATGGCTGGAGAACAGGTTGGGTGTGGTTAAAGGACCTGACCCTGGAATCTGGAAGGCCGCAGAAGGAATGTGGTTAAAGGATCCCCAGAACTGGAGGACATAAACAGACCATTAAGGAACAGCAGTGCTTCCAGAGGGTAGAGAAGGATTCAGCAGGGACCTGAAGAGAGACCAGAAAGAAGGAAGGAAGGGAACGTTCCCGAGAAAGGAGCTGTCACAGAAACCAGAGGGAGATCTGGTTAGGAGATCTCCAGTTAGGAGACCAGTTAGGAGAGGAGGCAACCTGTCCCCCAGAGACCTGGGAGGGCCCTCCCTTCAGCTGGCATGTCTCCAGAACCTAGGTGGTCCTCCCCATGCAAAGGCTCAGATTTCCCTACAAATCTATTGGATTGATTTGGGACTCCTTTATTCTCAAGGGTTGAATTCATGCAGGAAATCCAGGTTGTGGACTTGAATTCCTTTCCAGATTGCTCAGAGACTAAGGCACACAGCCTGAGCTTGTCAAAGATTTCAGTAGAACAAAAGGACAAGAGGACCTGGGAAAGAATCGGTGTATGAAAATTAAACGAGACCGTTCTTGGATTACTTAAATAAAGCCTTCCATGTTTTTATTCCATCTGACCACAAACAGTGGAAAACCCAGGTCTCTAGCTGTGAGTGCCATCTTCCCTCTCATCAAGACTTCTGAAAGCCCCTTAGAGGTGAGTGACATAGTGGTCTGCGGTGGCCAGTCTTTGTCCTCATGAGTCTGTCCAGAAGGGACATCAGGATAAAGTTCCACCCGGGAGCCCTCCCTGAGTGTGTCCGCTGGTGCGAGATGGGGCCTCACATCCTGCTTAAGCCTCTCGAAGCTTTCCTCCTTGTCCACGGAAGGCTTCTCCCACATGAGCTATTTTCTGGTGGATACGGAGGCTTTCCCTGAGCCCTTGCTCACCCTCCCACACACACACAGCTTCTCTTCGGCATACCCTGGGGTCTCTTGAGGGGTGATGTATGGCCAAAGCCTTGTCCACACTCCTCGCACACTCAGGATGTCTCGGAGTGGATTCCCCGGAGAGACCATGAAACGGGGGTTGAGTGGTTTACTGGGGGAATGAAGGCAGGACTGGGCAGAGGAAGCAGCAGCCCTGCGACATGTTTGCAACCAAATCACTCAGTCCGATGGGGGCCTCTGGGTCTGAGATGACCCTCTGGGGTCATCCCTACTGGATCAAGTGTTGGAGTTCTGTCTCCCCGTATCAATCGGTCACTGGCCAGGAGCCCCCGCCGTGGGGAGGGTGAAGTTCCCTGTGGCTGCAAGCAAGTCCTAGTGAGGAACTCCTCTGTGCAGCCGCCAGGGGCGGTAATCTGACCCCTGAATGGGTCATCTGGACGGAGCTCCCCAGGATCTCCACGTACGGATTACCCTTCCGGTGTGTGAAGAAGGTTGACTGAGCACGAGAGTCTTACACCCCCTGCAAGCACACGGCTCCTCCCCGAAGGTGCCACCTGGTGCCCGCCTGCCTGCTCTTTTCCTAAGGTCTCTGAACACAGGCCGCCTCTCCCAAGTCGGCCGCTGGATGTTCAGTGAATCCGGATTTATCGCTGAAGCCCCGCCCGCGGTCCCTGCACGCACAGCACTTCCCACCTACGTGCATCCTTTGTGTTCGGTGAGGGTTGACTTAGGGCTGCCGAGTTGCCCACACTCTGCACAGATAAGCCTCCTCTCCTGAATGTGTCCTTGAAGGCTGTTGAGGACCAACATGCCTCTGAAGCTTTACTCACACTCCGTGCACAGATAGGGATGCCTCCCCATCTGTCTCTCTGGTGCAGGATGAGGTTTGACTGATTAATAGAGTCCTGCCCAGGACCCCCCCCCCCACCCAACACAGAAGGCTTCTCGCCTCGGTGTATCCTCTGGCGTCTGATAAGATTCAACGTGGGGCACCTGGGCGGCTCAGTCGGTTAAGCATCTGACTTCGGCTCAGGTCATGATCTCGCGGTTCGTGGGTTTGAGCCCTGTGTCAGGCTCTGTGCTGACAGCTCAGAGCCTGGAGCCTGCTTCAGATTCTGTGTCTCCTTCTCTCTCTGTTCCTCCCCTGCTCCCTCTCTCTCTCAAAAATAAATAAAAATTTTTAAAAAATTTTTTTCACATTTGACTTATGGCTAAAGCCTCGCCCACACTCCAGGCATGCGTAGTGTTTCTCCCGGGAGCAGGAGCGTGTCCTCTGATGTCTGAGGAAGGAGGACTTCTCGCTGAAGGCTCTCACCCACACTCGCGGCAAACATAAGGCTTCTCCACAGAGTGAGTCCACTGATGTCCAATGAGGACTGACTTATTTCTAAAGCTCCGCCCACACTCCCGGCACACATAAAGCTTCTCCACTGAGCATGTCCGATGGTGTCTGATGAGGGCTCACTTCACTTTAAAGCCTCACCCGCACTCCCTGCAAACATCGGGTTTCTCCTGGAAGTGGGCCGTCTGCTCTGTAATGAGGTCTGATTTGGGGCTACGGTCTAGTTCACATTCCGTACAGCTGGCTGCTCCAGATCTTGTGGCTTTTATCACTCCTTTGTCTGTTTGCACACGGGCTAGGGCTGAGGGGGGGCCCTCTCTCGACCCGCCACGTTGCCTTCTCTAGTTCTTGCGGACCGTCCTCGGGGCGGGCTGGGGAATGCGCCCAAAGTCTCCGTCTCCTCTGTCCTTGCACACCAGGGAGGCCACCTTGCCTCCCATGACCTTCTGTGTCTCCAGTGCAGCAGCTCTGAGCAGGATACTGCTGCTCTTGATGCCCTGGGCCAGGACCCCCTGGATGGGAGTGATGCCCTACACAGAAGCCCAGAAAGATCTGAGGCACATGTTGGCTGAGAAGTTGCTGGCAGGAGACGGCTAGAAGGCAGGAGGCATGGGGGTAGATTTCTGCCTTTGGTTCTGCTGAAGAGAGAGAGTTTTTCAGTTAGAGAAGCCCTCAGTGGGGCCGCTGGGCTGCTTTGCCTTATAGGACAGCGCGTCTTATGGCCACATCTATAATTAGTAATAAACATACAGCACAATTTGTTCCTCACCAGTAATTCCTTCACAGTCCATTTCCGCACATTCCATTTTCTACTGCAATCCACAAAGTCGGGCAAAATCATCTTCTACACGTGAGCGTAGGAACCTTGCGAGTAGCCACTGTGTGCTATAAACAGCTTCAATTACCCTTAGCCTTTCCTTTCTACTAAATAAGCGATCGGCACTCACAGTGATACGTACTGTCCACAGTTCAGTTCTGATGGGATGTAACAGTCTCTGTGACCTATGTGGACACCTTCATGAGTTTTCTTATTATAAAACAAGACTGATACACATAAAAAGCCATGGGGTCTGGGGCGCCTGGGTGGCCCAGTTGGTTAAGCAGCCAACTTCGGCTCAGGTCGTGATCTTGCAGTTCACGAGTTCGAGCCCCACGAAACCCGGCTCTCTGTTTCTGGAGAGTCTACAAACTAAGAATGGCTTTGAAATTGTTAAATAGTTGGGGACAAGTCAAAAGAATAAGAATATTTCATGACACATAAACCTGATACGAAATTCAGAATTCAGGGTCCGCAAATAAAGTCTTATTGGAACACAGCCTTGCTCATTCATTTACATGCTGTCTGCATTTAGCACTGCAAGGGAAGACCTGGGAACAGCCACAGACAGACCATACAGTCACTATGTGGCCCTTTTACAGAAAAAGCCGGCCAACTCCTGATCCAGGGGAATGTCCTAATTGAAAGTGTTTATCAATCTAGGTTTAAATAACCAATGTAAGTTTCTAAATAAGTGAAAACGCAAAAAATAGGACTTATGAAACCCCAAAGCCATACAAACTGACACGTAATTGTCCCTTCCACTGCAGAAGGCACCTCTCTCTTCTCTCCCCCTCGCTGACTGTGTCTCCAGTCTCACTGGCCTCCTGGCAGGCTCCTCATGGCCACAGGCACATCCCTTCCTAAAGGTCTTAGCACCGAGTCCCTGCCCCTGAAATGCTCTTCCCCCACATCCCCAGAGTTCTAACTCCCTCACCACGTTATATTGTGGGTCCCATGGTCCCTCCTCATTGATTCCAAATCCCCAACTGCAAAAGTCAGCCAGCCACCCTCTCGCACTCCATACTCCTTTATCCTGCTCTAGTTTATTATGATTTTATACTATGTAGCGTTTATGACTTTCCAACCTACCATGTTATGATATTCCTGGGTATGAAGCTTATGGTTTATTGCCTGTCTCCACACACTAGAAAGTAAAGATCAGAAGGCGGTTACTAGTAAAGACTAGGAAGGGATTACTATTTTGTTACTTACGTGTTCTAAGTGTCTGGAACATTTTCTGGCACATAGTAGGTAGCCAATAAATCTCTACAATTTTTTTCTAATGTTTATTTTTGAAAAAGACACAGAGCGCAAGTGGGAGAGGGGCAGAGAGAGACGGAGCCATAGAATCTGAAGCAGGCTCCAGACGCTGAGTTCTCAGCACAGAGCCCGACGCGGGGCTCGAACTCACAAACTGCGAGATCGTGACTTGAGCCCAAGTCGGACACTCAACCGACTGAGTCACCCAGGTGCCCCTCTACAATATTTTTTAATTAAAATTTTTTAAGGTTTATTCATATTTTGAGAGAGACAGGGACAGAGACAGAGCACTAGCAGGGCAGGGGCAGAGAGAGAGAGGGAGACACAGACTCTGAAGCAGGCTCCAGGCCCTGAGCTGTCAGCACAGACAGAGCCCGATGCAAGGCTGGAACTCAGGAACAGGGAGATTATGACCCGAACCACAGTCAGACGCCCAACTGACTGAGCTACCAAGGCGTCCCAAATCTCGACAATATAAATAAAGGAAAGAACACAGCCTCACCCAACAGAGCAGATTCCTGTAATTCTCCAGCATCACTTCTTTGTGTAGGTTCCTCTGCTCAGAGCTCAGTCCCTTCCATTCTGAATCTGCGAAGACCACAGCCACATCCTGGAATGTAACCAGCACCTACAAATAAGCAGTAAGTTAATGGATAGCAAATCACCATCCATTTTCTTTTTTTTTTTTAATTTTTTTTTAATGTTTATTTATTTTTGAGACAGGGAGAGACAGAGCATGAACAGGGGAGGGGCAGAGAGAGGGAGACACAGAATCTGAAACAGGCTCCAGGCTCTGAGCTGTCAGCACAGAGCCCGACGCGGGGCTCGAACTCACGGACCCCGAGATCATGACCTGGGCCGAAGTCGGCCGCTTAACCGACTGAGCAACCCAGGCGCCCCAACCATCCATTTTCTCAGAGTGAGAGGTGTTATCTGGTGGCCCTGGAGAGCCCGGATATGTGAGAAATTGATCTAGTTCTCTGAAAGCACACGGTTCTCCCTATAAAGCTCTTCTAGGCATTCCTAGGCTTTGTGTTAAAATCTGAGGGACGCACAGCTGATGCATGAAACACACTTCTGGCCCTCAGACGCTTGGGATTTCCTCACAGAAATGATCGGTGACTCAACCTGCAAACCTCAAGCAGTGCCGGGGAAAGTGACCTTGAGGATCAATCTGGGGGAATTCTGAGGTGGAAGCATGGGGCATGGGCTGGAGAAGGAAAGAAGCACGGGGCTTGTGCCGGGCATCGGGGGATGATGAAGATTTAGCGGAGAAAACGGAACAATCTTCAGCTATAGAGAAAAGCGGGAGTGAACAGACGGGGACCACAGTGAGAATGTTTGAGGGATGCAGGTCACTAAGTGGGATCTGTAAAAAGCTGTCTTTGCCTGCTATTTTAAAAATAAAGTCCTGGGGCGCCTGGGTGGCTCAGTCGGTTAAGCAGTTAAGCATCTGACTCTTGATTCTGGCTCAGGTCATGATCTCATGGTTCTTGAGCTCCAGCCCCAGGTCTGGCTCTATGCTGACAGCACAGAGACTGCTTGGGATTCTCTCTCTCTCTCTCTCTCTCTCCCTCTCTCTTTCTGCCCCTCCCCCATGCCCACTGTCTCTCCCTCTCTCTCAAAATAAGCCCCTAATGCTTCACTCATCACATAGCGCAGTATGTCACGTATGCAAAACAGCTGGCAAGGGGAATGGCAGGGATCGTCAAGGAAAGGGGCACTTACAGATCATTTCATCTTTTTCAAAAATCTGACGCTTTATCAAGATATAATTCAAAATTCACGGCTTCATAAAACTCACCCCTTCCTTTCAAGTACAGGCACCCCTTGCTTTGCACGGTTCCGATGTGCACAAATCGGAGTCGCCACGGTTTAGCTGAATAACACCAGACCCCGACCACAATGGTTCAAACGTCAGTTACTGCGATATGGTGACCGCAAGCGCGAGCTCTGCCGCTAGCTCTCCAGTCCTCCAATCACTATGTAAGTGACAGATGGCGTCGTGACCAGTAACCAATCACATCACTTCTTGGGACGGCTCCCTTCCCGCAGCTCCCCTTTGCTAGAAGGCCACCGTCTATGTGCTGGCCTATTTCTGTACCCTCTTCTGTGCCACTGGTCTGCCCGTCTGTCTTTATGCCAATCCCCTGCTGCCTTAATGACACTGGCACCATGACAGATCTTTCTCCAGCTTTGGTTCTTCTTCAAGAATACCCTGGCTAGTTGGGGCCTTTGCGTATGAAAACTGCAGTGCAAAATGAGGTACGAATCTTACCACAAACGAATCCCAGACACAAGGTTGAATAAAAGAAGCCAAACGCGGAAGAGTGCGGACGATGTGATGACATTCATTAAAAACCAAATAGGAAGCGTAATCTGTGATGCTAGGGGTCAGGATAGAGTTATCCTCGGGGGAGACTGGAGGACTGGAAGGCTTACACGCATGTAATGCTCACAAGTGGCAGTGTTCTGCATCTCGATCTGGTCCCATGGCTGTGTTCGCTTTCTGAAAATCAGAGTACGTTTTTTTAATGTTTATTTGTTTTTGAGAGAGAGAGCGTGCAAGCAGGGGAGGGGCAGGGGGGGGGGGGACAGCGGCTCTGAAGCGGGCTCTGCGTTGACTGTGGAGAACCTGAAGCAGGTTTGAACTCACAAACCGTGAGATCATGACCTGAGCCCACGTCAGATGCTCAACCGACTGAGCCACTGAGGCGCCCTGAGTACATTTTTGAACTACGCACTTTGTTAACTATTACACTTCCATCAAATTTCAAACAAACAGAAACACCTTACCCTGGCCGGGCGAGAGAGTTCGTGCTTTCCTGACATTTAAATTGCTTCTTTCCCAGAAAACTGCTGACGACAGCATTCCATATGCGTCATTCGTCAAATAATACAGACCCATTCCTGAGGGTTGGAAAGTATGCTCCCACATTTTTTAGATTGGGATTTATGTTGCAGCAAGAAGGCTATTCAACACATTAGAAGCTATAGGAGCTTAGGAGTCAAGGAAAACCGGGTTTAAATCCTGGCTCCACCGCGTGGTAGAGGAGTGTGGCCAGGTACCAGTCACACGCCCCTCCAGGCCAGACTTTCTCCTTCTGAAATAAATTGTATTACCACCACCACCACCCTTTTACAGCTGTTATTAAGAATTACTGAGCCTGGGTGGCTCAGTCGGCTAAGCGTCCAACTTCGGCTCAGGTCATGATCTCACGGCTCGTGAGTTCGAGCCCCACATCGGGCTCTGTGCTGACAGCTCGGAGCCTGGAGCCTGCTTCGGATTCTGTGTCCCTCTCTCGCTCTCCCCCTCCTCGCTCATGCTCTCTCTCCCAATCTCTCTCTCTCTACGAATAAATAAAACATTAAAATAATTTTTTAAAAAGAATTATGGAAGAAATGTTATCATGTCCAAGATTTGTCTCTAAAATAATCCAGTGAGGGAAGTGAGGGATCAAAATGGCATAAGACTGGCCATTATAGGTGACTACTGAAGCTGTATTGACGGGACCTGAGGCCTTATTACAACTTTGCTCCTACTTCTCTGTATGTTCCAAAACTTCAGCGATAACAAGGTAGAAGAAAGATGTCCAGGGCACAATAGCATTAGATAGGGTGGATATGGGGTCAAACTTGATAGTGCATTTAAAATGTTCAATAGTCGGTTTTTCAAAAATACCCCGCGTGTTGGAAAGTCTCCTGAACCCTTAATATTAATCTTGGATACATTTTTCAACAAAGACAATCAAACACACCAACGCAGGAGCCGCTCATTACGAAGTGAGTCAGTGTCTGACGCAGGCATGGACGACCGCCTTTCCCCTTTTCACGAGAGAGAATAGATGCTGTTCTCTGGGAAACCAGCCAGCATTTCGGGGAGGGCGGTGGGGAAGTAACCCACCTCCCCAGCATTTGGGGCTTGTCCTCTTTCTCGGAGCCGGTCAGTAGCACAAGAAGGCAGCCCCGGTGAAAGGGGCAGCAGCAGCTGTGGGGCGCCAGGCGGCCCATGGGCATTTCCAAGGCAGCGACTCCAGGCCCCGCAGGGAGGAAGGAGCCCCTGGGCGCACCTGTGGTCACTGGGGCGCTCTTCCTGAACCCGAGCTCGCTTCCCCCCACCACGGTGCCTCTCCAGACCCACCAGCTCTCACCTTCTGCTGTATGATTTTGACCTGTGTCTTCATGACCTCAAGTGCCCTCCAGAGGCAACACCTGCCCCCAGGTCCTGCTCGCAGTGGGCAGAAGGATCAGGCAATGTCGGGGCCCCACGGATAGCCCGGAGTCTGCCTTGAAACTCTGCCAGAGGGCCGGGGAGAAGTTACTTCGTCTCAACTTCTGTTGCCTGGGGTGACTTCTCAGAGCCTTACTTGTGAAAGCCCATCTTGCTTCCACGAAGCCAGGACCTGGGCGATGGAAAAGTCACTCAACGTTGCCGGGAGCTGTACCATGGGCCTTGAGCCCATGCCTCCTGGACAGGGGCCCTGTCCTCTCACGTCTCCTCATTCAACATGGCGCCTCGGGCTTCAGGACTTCTAGGATTTCTTTACTTCACCCCTTTCCAGCCTCTACGCCCTCAAGTCTGTCCCCCGCCCCTCTTCCTCAGCTGTCAAAATATACAATTCCTACCCACCCTCATGCTGCGGATTCAAACTCCATGTCTCTGCTCCCTGGAGCGTGAGTCAGAGTGAAGACGTGGCATAATGCCTGTGGATAAAGAGGCGCAGAATGTCTCCTCCCAGACCAATGTGGGCATGCAGAACTCAGCTCCCGCCTCCCTTGGCCCTGGTTCCAGCTGTGTTCAATCCCATGTCCCTGAACTCTTGAGGGCTCGGGGTCTCAACTGAGTTCTTCCTCTTTAGGTCATGCTCCAGGCCTCACAGTGACGCTGTGAAGGTAACCCCCACCTTCCTTATCACATGGCCTTATCAGAACAGTGCATCTGTGTCTCCAGATGAACCCAAGAGGAGATCCTCCATTCATGCGGTCCCAAAGGAGGCAGGTGGCGTCGAAGCTAAACTACCATCAGAAGCAACTCGGACGGCCCGCCCAGGATCTCAGCCCCGAGGACTGTGGTCGCCCTGTTGCCAGTACTCTTTGGAGGCTGGCCAGGTCCCCCTTAGGATTCATCCCTTAATTCCATAGGCAGAGACTCACTCCCTCTTCTGTCCAACCTGGGCATCTCACCTTCTTCATACCACGTTGCAAAGTTTCTATTTATTTGACTACCTTCACTATATTCTGAGCCTCTTGTAAGAAGAAACATATCTCAGTCATTTTGCTAATCCTAGGGACTAGGATAAAAGAGGCCTTTATGGTGGATTTTTACCACTGTTCCCAATTATTTATTTCTCTATACAAAGACGGCACCTCCCTGCCCCTGACATCAGGCTTGGCCTTGTGACTTGCCTTGGGCGATGAAATGTGACTGAAGGCCGCCGTGCCACTTCTAAGCACTGCCTGATTCCACCATCACTCACGTTCTGAAAGAAGCATGTCCCCAGAAGGGGCTTTGGTTTCTACTGTAAATGATCACGGTGCAGAGCCAAAGCTGACCTACAAAGGAAGAGGAATTAGACTGGGGTTAAGGTCAGATAGCTGGGTGGGCCACGGAGAGTTGGGGGTCACGTGTCACTGCAGCACAGCTTGGCCTAAGCTGATAGAGCCCTCTGCTCCTAGTAATACCAACATCTATAAAACGAGTACTGTCCAGAGCTCATGAATCCTTACCACATAGCCAAGAGGAAGGCACTGCTATTCTTTCCATGTCACAGAGGGGCAAGCTAAGGCACTCAGAGGTCGGTTGATGTGTCCTTAAGATCATAGCTACCAAGCGTCAGGGCCAAGCCTAGAATCCAGAATTCTCATTCCAAAGCCCGTTCCTTTCAGCGTTGCTATAGTAATGCCCAGTGGACAAAGGACTAAATGAAAATGCCGAGAGCAAGCGTATGTCCACAGGGTTCTGAGTTCGCCCTGAAGGAGACGGGACCCTCACAGCAAAAGGGAGGAGGGGTCAGGATGGGCCAAGTTATTCTGGAGTGACAAATGCTTCCCCCCAGATCTCCGTGGCTTAGAGTTATGAAGTTTCTTTCTCACCCCGGCTCTGTGTCCATCATGTGTCATCTGCAACTGTGCTCAAAGCCATCTTCAGTCCAGGACCACGGCTGCCGGGACCGCCTCTGTTTGGAACACGGTCAGTAGGAATGATAGAGGGAAATGTCGGATAGAGAACGGTACTCACGCTCTTACCAACTCTACCCAAAGTGACACCTCGGATATAGCTCATTAGCAAATCGAGACACATGGTCACTTCTGAGTTCAATAGGGCAGGGAGAGACCACATAGGAGGGATGTCAGGATGTCCGGGAAACGTTGACATGGCATTCCACTACAGGGTCAAAAGGCCATAAATTGATTGTCCACCTCCCCCAGGCCCCACTGTGATTGGCAGTTCAGTGTGCTGGGATCTGTGGCTGTGCCCAGGCCATAAGACTAAAGGCACGGTTCCTTACACCTGCCACACCATTAAGAACAAGCAGGGATGCCGACCAGGAGAACAGGGCTCTGTCACAGAAGACCTACAGCCGTGAACATTATGCTGCCACTCAGAGCGTAAGGCAGAGGGGGCCCAGCCAGCCAAGAAGGGGCTCTGCAGGGAAGGGGGCAGGGCGGCCAAGAGAGAGAAGGAGAGAAGAGAAAGGAAAAGACTAGGAGAAATGGGGGATTTCCTAGAAGAACAGAAATTGCCCAAAATCGAGTCCAAAAAAAAAAAAAAAAAAAAAAAAGCAACCAATTATTAACCGAAAAAGAAAAGCAAAGGACAAAGGTCTCTCCCAAAGGCACGGGCCTCAGACCATGTTATTGGCCAATTCCAGCAACACTTCGAGGAATAGGTCATTCTGTAATAAAGCTTAAGTGCCCCAAAGCATTAAAACCAGCTTCCTAGCTCATTCATCAAGGACACCAAGAGCAAGCAAGGACCCTACAGAAGAAAGAAAACCAGGGGTCAATGCCACTTATAAAACGAGGTGCAGGGGCGCCTGGGTGGCGCAGTCGGTTAAGCGTCCGACTTCAGCCAGGTCACGATCTCGCGGTCCGTGAGTTCGAGCCCCGCGTCGGGCTCTGGGCTGATGGCTCGGAGCCTGGAGCCTGTTTCCGATTCTGTGTCTCCCTCTCTCTCTGCCCCTCCCCCGTTCATGCTCTGTCTCTCTCTGTCCCAAAAATAAATTAAAAACATTGAAAAAAAAAAGAAAAAAAAAAAAGAAAAAAAAATAAAATGAGGTGCAAAAGTTCTAAATAAAACGTTGGCGAACTGGATCCAGCTGTGCCTTCAAGAAATAAGACTACATCGTCACCAAGTAGACTTTATCCCAGGAAGGGACAGGACGGTGTAGTGTCAGAAAACCTACTAGGTGAGGAAAACTTCCTTCTTTTAGTAAGCTGATTGTGTATGTGTGTCTGTGTGTATGTGTGTGCATATGTATAAATATGTGGTAAAATATTTCTACCTGAGAATCTTCCTGCTAACATACGACCCAGTTGTCAACATTTTGGTCTACTGGTTCTATCACATCTATCCATCCATACTGGCGAGTACGTGGACATTCAGAACAGCAAACTTTTCAACTTTTCTGCATGCCTGTAAAACGTCAGAAGAAAACGTTGGGGGCAAATGGGATCCAAAAAGACTTCCATATTCACACGGTCTATGAACGAGTGTAAAACACCAACTTCAATCTGCACATTGCTATTTCCCAGAGAAACCAATTTAACATTGTCTTGTTCTCCCAACGGTAAAGAAATACATCTCTTACGCCATTGTAAGAGACCTCAAGGATGAGACGCTACGGCTAGAAAGAAAGTGCGATGTGAAACCTGCAGAAAACACTGTCAGCACGACTTGGGTCCTAAAATGCTACGTCTCAACAACACCTCAGGACGGGATCTTGTGTCAGCGACGTTCGATTGTAACAGGTGTCCCTGAGATGGAAACTGCCACAGTTTTTTTATACAGTGCAACCAGATTCGCCACACACTGTCTTCTGTTTGCCAAGTCCACTGTGACCAATCTATTCCCTTATAAAAAATATGAACACATGAAGTGCATAATCTTCCTCAGGCTCCTGTGGAATTACGGAAGAGTCAGCTTTAAGGGATCTCCGTTTCCCACTAACCATTTGATTTGATACAACACAAGAACATTCCAACTTGCTCTGCCTTCTGGGTCAGCACTTTTTTCTCAGGATCTCTCCAGCTATTATTTATTTGTTCCAAAGCCGGTAACGACGATGTTTCAAGTACACTGACCCTGTGTTGGTCTGGTGGCAATTCAAACTGGGTAACCGCGGAACGCTTAGCCTAGGGACTAGTTATGAAGGTGTGAGCAGAGTTAAGGGAAAACAAACAGATGCTTTAGCACCACGGCTGCTTACGAGAGCCGAGGGTCTCGACCAACGCCAGGTCTAAAGGCGGAGGGAGCAGTTACCAGGTTCAGGAGCTAGAGTCATTGAGAGAGGGTTGCTTGGCACAAGTTTTGGCTTTCGGCAGAGGTACACCATTAACCCGTGGTGACCCAGTAGGGAGGGAGCCATTGGAATAAAATACACAGAAGCAACAGAGGTTAACAAAGCTATCTGAACCAAATCTCCTTCTGAAGCAAATGAGTAATTATGGGATATGCTAATTCCATCAACCCCCGTGGACTAGAAAATCTAGAATTTTGGTATAGAAGTAAGGAGACACAAATGTGATACTCAAAAGGTTAGGTAACATCCCAGTAATCCTGAATTTGGATCAGGAATATCAGTGTGAAGAATGAGGTACTTCTTAGCTCTGTCCCCTGCCAAAGGCTACAGTGACCAATTCAACTGCAGCGCCCATCCCTGACTTCCAGACTGTAGCCTTTTTTTTTTTTTTCAACGTTTATTTATTTTGGGGACAGAGAGAGACAGAGCATGAACGAGGGAGGGGCAGAGAGAGAGGGAGACACAGAATCGGAAACAGGCTCCACGCTCTGAGCCATCAGCCCAGAGCCTGACGCGGGGCTCGAACTCACGGACCGCGAGATCGTGACCTGGCTGAAGTCGGATGCTTAACCGACTGCGCCACCCAGGCGCCCCTATTTATTTATTTTTGAGAGAAGAGGGTGCAAGTGGGACAGGAGCAGAGAGAGCGAGAGAGAATCTCAAGCAGGCTCTGCACTGTCTGTTAGCACGGGGAGCCCAAAGTAGGGCTCGAATTCACTGTGAGATCACGGCCTGAGCCAAAATCAAGAATCAGATGCTTAGGACGCCTGGGTGGCCCAGCCGGTTGAGCATCCGACTTCGGCTCAGGTCATGATCTTGCAGTTCATGAGTTCGAGTCCCACATGGGGCTCTGTGCTGACAGCTCAGAGCCTGGAGCCTCCTTCAGAGTCTGTGTCTGCCTCTCTCTCTGCCCCTCCCCTGCTCATGCTCTGTCTCTCTCTTTCTCTCTCCCAAAAATAATAAATAAACATTAAATTAAAAAAAAAAAAAAGAGTCAGATGTTTAACTAACTGAGTCACCAAGATACCCCCAGACTGTGGTCTTGACTTACTATTTCCCACTAAAAGAAATACGTGCTTCCAGAAAAAAGAAAATGGCTTATGCCTGATTTGTTGCAGGAAATGTACAAGATGAGCCTGAAATATCTTGACATACCAGAAAGCAAGGATTTACAAAGACTCTTTAGAATCATATCACTATGACTTCGTGGTTAACTAGATAAGGCTGCCAATGGCCAGAGATGGGACAATGTTAGTTTTAACAAGAATATGACTCGCAATAGATTGAAACCCATCAGATGTGTTTAAACCTACGGGTTTATAATATTTTTTAAAATAAAGGTCTTCTTTTTTTTTTAATTTTTTTTTCAACGTTTTTATTTATTTTTGGGACAGAGAGAGACAGAGCATGAACGGGGGAGGGGCAGAGAGAGAGGGAGACACAGAATCAGAAGCAGGCTCCAGGCTCTGAGCCATCAGCCCAGAGCCCGACGCGGGGCTCGAACTCCCGGACCGCGAGATCGTGACCTGGCTGAAGTCAGACGCTTAACCGACTGCGCCACCCAGGCGCCCCTAAAGGTCAACTTCTAATAACAGGTAACCAATTCACTTTCTTGAAAACTCGTTAAATGAAAGATTGAAGCATTTAATCTCCTTCCCAATATGAATCGTGCCTCTGGGTAATCAAATAGTAGATGAGGGAAGTGTCTCCTTATAATATTATTCCAACGAAGACAGGAAAATGACAGAATTAGCATATCACCATTTTACATTCCTCAGTGAATGAACATATCTAGGCATTACAAATCAAGAATGGCTAACATCAAAGAAAACCAAAAGCAGATGTTATATGCATCCTGATAAAAGCATACATCACTTAGATTTTTTTCAAAGGGATTGAACCTAAGTGTGATGAAACTCCACACCAAATGTGGGGGAAATACAAAGGAATACCTTTATCTGCAATGAGAATATATCAGCAAAATCCAGCCTGCAGGAAGCTCTACATATCAAACGGTCTTGGTCCTTCAACAGATAAACTGGCAGGAAAGGAAGAGGATGAAAGAACCTATAAATTTTAATTTTTTTTAATGTTTTATATATTTTTGAGAAACATGGAGAGACAGAGACAGAGACAGAGAGAATGAGCAGGGGAGGGGCAGACAGACAGGGAGACACAGAATCGGAAGCAGGCTCCAGGCTCTGAGCTGCCAGCACAGAGCCTGATGCGGGGCTTGAACCCACGAACTGTGAGCTCACGACCTGAGCCAAAGTGGGACACTTATCCAACTGAGCCACCCAGGTGCCCCAAGAATCTATAAATTTTAAAAGACACATTTTAAAAATCACTATTAGATTTTTTTTTTTTTTTTAAGATAAAAAAGCTAGGGTACCTCAGTTGGTTGAGAGTCCAACTCTTGTTCAGCTCAGGTCATGATCCCAGGGTCATGAGATCGAGCCCCATGTTGGGCTTCGCGCTGAGCGTGGAGCCTGCTTAAGATCCTCTCCCTCGGGGTGCCTGGGTGGCTCAGTCAGTTGAGCATCCGACTTCAGCTCAGGTCACGATCTCGCAGTCCGTGAGTTCGAGCCCCGCGTCAGGCTCTGGGCTGATGGCTCGGAGCCTGGAGCCTGTTTCCGATTCTGTGTCTCCCTCTCTCTCTGCCCCTGCCCCGTTCATGCTCTGTCTCTCTCTGTCCCAAAAATAAATAAACGTTGAAAAAAAAAATATTTAAATAAATCAGTAAATATAAAAATAGCAAAATAAAAGGTAAAAAAGCTAACCTATGAAGTTTAGAGATGCTTACTCAGGTGACGGACCTTAGAGACACTCAGGGAAAGGTTGCTTTTGAAGGGAGGGACAAAGTTGTGACTGGGGACCATCTGGGGAGACCAACAAAGCACTACTTTTTGACCTGGGTGTTCACTTCCTGTTCGTTCTACACTGTCCCTTCTGTGCGCTTTACTTCCTGTGTTGTATTTTATAAAAAAAAATGAAATTCTACAATGAATTCTACAATTCATTTTATAATAAAAATGAAATTCTACAAAATAAAACCTGTGTAAGTGCAGCAACAGACAGTAAATGGAACAGAATAGAGAGCCCACACATTCTTGGGGTTTTAGGTAATACAGCCTCTCAACACAGCCAGGAAAGGATGGCCTCTTCGTGAAAGAGTTCAGACAAGCTGCTGTCAGATTGGAAGTTAGGTTCCTAGCTCACACCTTGCATAAAAATAAATTCCAAGTAGTGTGAGAGCTAAAGATTAGAAAGAAACAAAAATACAGCCATTTAGAAACATACAGGGGAACATACAGAGGCCCTTGGGGAAAGACAGATCTTTAAAAAAAAAAAAAAAATCCAGAAGCCATTAAGGAAGAGGTGAATACATATCAATTACTACATATCAATTAAATACTGCCGTTTAGGGGTGCCTGGGTGGCTCAGTCGGTTAAGCATCCAACTTCGGCTCAGGTCATGATCTCGCGGTCCGTGAGTTCGAGCCCCGCGTCGGGCTCTGTGCTGACAGCTCAGAGCCTGGAGCCTGTTTCAGATTCTGTGTCTCCCTCTCTCTCTCTGCCCCTCCCCTGTTCATGCTCTGTGTCTCTCTGTCTCAAAAATAAATAAACGTTAAAAAAAAAATTAAAAAAAAATACTGCCGTTTAACCAAAGACACCTCTAGGAAACGTGGGGAGAAGACACCTCTAGGAAACGTGGGGAGGGCATAAACATGTATGTGTGTATTTAATCTCTAATTGTCTTTACATTAAAAAAATGCCAGAAGGATACACAGAAAGTTAACAAAACTGATTATCTATGGGAAATAAATCTGTCTTGAAAGTGTCCTAGAATCCAAAAAAAACAAAACAAAACAAAAACAAAAACAAAAAAAAACTTCAATAGTTGAATTTAAATTTAGCAAGGTGGCAGGATTTAAAGGGTCAATATACAAACATCAATTGTCCTTTTATAAATACTGACAGAAATAGTTGGAAACTTACCTTTTAAAAAACATTTCCAGGGGTGCCTGGGTGGCTCAGTCGGTTGAGCGTCCGACTTCGGCTCAGGGCATGATCTCACAGTCTGTGAGTTCGAGCCCCGCATCGGGCTCTGTGCTGATGGCTCAGAGCCTGGAGCCTGCTTCCAATTCTGTGTCTCCCTCTCTCTCTGCCCCTTCCCTGCTCATGCTCTGTCTCTCTCTGTCTCAAAAATAAATGAAAACGTTAAGAAAAAAAAATTTTTTTTAAACATTTCCAAATGCATCCCGGACACAGACGGATGGGAATAAACTTACAGAGAAATGTTGCTGGGACAAGGATGGTGGTAATCTGGTCCGGGGTAATATTCTCTGTAAAGGCTCCTGCCCTTAAATCAGTCCTGGATCCTAGGGGACCGAGCAAGGCATCTGAGCCTCAAATGGGACACTGTAGGACACAAGATGTCAGAATAGGCAAAGGAAACCGGCCCATGATGCGGAGCTCGGAAGACACTGTAGGAATGTAAAGGGTGACTGGTACACAGCCAAAAGTGGGCTGTCAGGAGCCCAGAAGCCCTCTCTTTCTCTACCAGTCCTCCCTGGGCAAGAAGGGATACAGCAGGCAGCAAGGATGAAAGAAGCAGGGTGAGAGCCTCAGTTCTGTCTCCCAGCACCCAGATACCCAGCTAGAAATCCCCAAGTTTCAGTGAGGAGTGCTCCTCTTCCTTTCAAGGCAAAAGAAAAAGAAAGCCTCAGATCTGCCAGAGAAGAACGTGGACAGCTTCTGAGGGACAGAGTTGGGTGTGGGCATCACTACACAACCTGCCCTGATAGGCTCTTATTAAATAGGGAACTGAGGGGTGCCTGGGTGGCGCAGTCGGTTAAGCGTCCGACTTCGGCTCAGGGCACGATCTCGCGGTCCGGGAGTTCGAGCCCCGCGTCGGGCTCTGGGCTGACGGCTCAGAGCCTGGAGCCTGTTTCCAATTCTGTGTCTCCCTCTCTCTCTGCCCCTCCCCTGTTCATGCTCTGTCTCTCTCTGTCCCAAAAATAAATAAACGTTAAAAAAAAAAATTTTTTTTAATAAATAAATAGGGAACTGATCCTTTTTCTACCTATGGGCCTCAAGGTGTAATATTATTATGAATAGTTAACGTTTACATAAGCTAGGTCTTGGGATAAACTGAGGCAGTTATAAATCTCGCTCAAGCTGACAAAGCTACAAAATCCCTAGATTTGAACTCTAGCTGCAGAGTGCCAAGGCAGTTGGGTCAGTGGTCATGTCACTAGTGGTCAAGCCCTGTGGGGTGTGACAGTACCCAAAGTGTATCCACACATAGGGTTGAGGGGATGTATATGAAATAAGACTGGCTGCCAATTAATAAATGTTGAATATAACGATAGGTCCATGGTGGGGGGGGGAGGGGTCCACTGTACTATTCTACTGGTAGGTTTACAATTTGTCCTTGCCAAAAAATTAAATATAAAATTAAAGTCCTGACACCTGGGCCCCATAGGATGCCAGAGGAGATTTGGATAATCACCCAACAGCCCTCAAAGGTTCCCACTAAGTTCCAGGCAACAGGTTTGACCCCCAAGCACAAGGGAGAAGCAGACAAGGGGGAATCAGCCAAACTGGCCACCCACATTACAAACAAACCCGAGATCCCTGCCACAAAGCAGAATGCCTAGACAAACCTTGGGACCACAGGTCCCAGAGCAGCAGACCTGCCCTTAGTCAAAAAGCTGCTTAGATGTAAGCCCCAGCGATGCAGTCCACCATCACTGATAGACGTGTGTCCCAGGCCAAAACCTGCCCCACCCCCTAAAAACCCAGGGACTCTAGACACTCCCCCCATAACTCCCTAAGTGTATCTATTATACCGACATCAAGCTTGCCTCCACCCATCCCCAACAAACCAACGCACAGTGAGGCCTGAGAAGTTCCACAAACACCCTGATTATGGGCCTGGAATAGTAAAGAAGCCCCCTTCGGCCCCACCAAAAACCACCAACCAACCCAAAGCTTGACATTCTCTATCAGTCCCGGGTTTCCACAACTACACCGAAACGCAGGACCCAAGTAAGTGCTTCCCCACCAAAACACACCCGAGCATATATGGCCCGAGGCGCGGCGCCCCCGCCGCCCCCCCCCCCCCCCCGCCCCAGGGGATGTTTGTTATTTGGCCCTGGCTGAACTCATCCCCACACCCAAATAAACTCAGAGGATGCACGCTGGAGCTCCCCCCCATTCGTAAATTGTTTGGCTCTGAATATATCCACCCCCTTCAAAAATGAAAAGTTGTGGAGTTCCAGGTCACTCGTCCCAGTCGGGAAAGGAGGTTCCGCGCAGCGCCCAGCAACTCAGGGATTCAGGGCTGGCTGAGCGTCACCCTACTCCCCCGCCCCAAATGCGCCCCCCCCACCACACCTCCTAACATTGAACCCCCCAACCCGCGGGCCTGAGCCGCCGCACTTCCCATTCTAGACTTGTCCCAGACCCTAGGCCCTCCCTGTCCCCATTTGGAAGGATCTCTCGGGGCCAAGGACGGGGGCCGGCTTCGGTCACCGGGGCCGGCGGGACCGTCCAGCCAGCCCTCGGCCCCGGCCGGTCTTCGCCAAAACTACACTTCCCAGAATCCCCGCAGGCGCCGCCCCCCGTGGGGGCCAACGCAGCAGCTTCTGGTTCCCGCGGTTGATTCGCTAGGACAATGGCTATTGCAACGACAGCCTACGCATAAAATACCCGGGCGTGAAACAGGCACTGGCTTCTGTGCAAAATCGCTCCTCCTCTGCCCCTTCTCCGGAGAAACTACACTCCCCAGAAGCTACTGCGGCAGCTCTGTACACGACTTCCCGATCCCGATCCTCGGTGGGAGGGCGGGGGTCTTCGCCTCTCGAGGCATTTTGGTTTGGCTACCGGCCCGGGTTTTTGCATTTCAGCTTTGTTTGCTTTCCTCCCGGGACAGAGGTGAACTCCCTAGCCTTAGGCTCTGTGACATACACACCACCCTCTGTGAGCGCCGTCAAATGTAACAAATGGTATAGCCACTTTGGAAGACAGCTGCCAGTTGTTTATAAAACTAAACATACTCTTAACCACATGATCCAGCAAATGTGGTCCTTGGTGATGTGATGTGGACCTGGAGCGAGCTGTCAAGAAAGAATTCTTGAGAGGTTTGGGGTGCAAAAAAGTGCTTTCATTATAGCACAGGAACATAACCCACGGGCTATAAGAGCTGCACTGTGCTTGTGAGGAGGGATTGATTGTATAGTTTTAAGTTGGGGGGTGGGGAGAGATAAAGGAAGTCTCTATAGAGATTTACATTTGTTAAAGAAGACTTACAGGATCCTGGAGGTCCAGATAATGCCAAGCTAAGTTTGCTTGTTACTTCTAGCAAAGCATGAAAAGAGGCAGTTGTGAGTTCCTTGAGGAATGCCATACTTTGCCTGTCTCGGGTATTTATCGATGGGCTGCAAGTCGTAAGGAAATTTAATTTTATCTACATTTCTTTCGCCTTCGTTCTCCTCATCGGTTATGACACTTATAAAAATGAGCTCAGAATCACATATCAATTTTCAATAAATTTTCAAATGTAGTCAAAAGCACTCAAAAGATTTCTTATTGTGACGCGGAGGAATTAGAGTAAACCAAAGCAGGATTTGTATCAACAACCCCATAATCACACACTATGTTAAAAAATCCTTTTCGTTGAGAGTTAAAGTGCACCAAGAGTCTAAGAGTATTTGTGAAATCAGCTCAGAATCACTTATTATTCTCCAAGGAACATTCAAAAGTATTCCAAAAGACAGAAGTATTCAAAAGCACTGAAACTCCTTTTTTTTTTTTCTTGTTAAAATTAACATAACTAGATAAATAGTGACAACTTCAGACACGTGTATCTTCTGGAGCCTCTCTTTTACATTCTCTAGTTTTCTAATCATACCTAGTTATGTAGTTCTGGATTATCTTGTTATCTCTACTAGTGCTAGCTCTCACTAGTTATATTAACAAGGAATAAATTATGGTTAAGAAGAATATATGATTCAGAGGTTCTTTGCTGAACCTGTTGCTTTGACTTTGACCATAGATATGGATTTCAACTTTAGATTGTGAGGGTCAATATGAGAGTGAGAGGCAGGGTCAGGGTGGTAGGGTCAGAGTGAACATTACATAGTCAGGAAGATGATCCATATGGGTCATAGTGAGGATCAGAGTAAGGGTCAGTGGTCAAGGGTCAGTGGTCCTGTGAGGTGGCAAGGAGAGTCAGACTCAGGATATTTTAAGGGTCAAGGTCAGAGTCAGAATGAGGGTAAGTGTACAAGTGTGAAGGTGATGGAGTGAGGATGTGGGTCAGGGTGAATGAGGGTGAGAGTTACAGTGAGGGTCAGGGATAGGGTTTGGGAAAGAGTCAGACTGAGTGTTTGGTTCAGGTCAGAATCAAGATGAGGATGAAGGTCAGGGTCATGGAGAGGTTACGGGTATGGTTTAGGGTGAAGGTGAGGTCAGAGTGAGGTCCAGGGTCATTGTTAGAGTCAGGCTGGGGTGGGGGGCGGGGTCAGTGTTTGACTTAGGATAAAGTAGATCACAACAAGGGTCAGGGTCAGAGGGAGAACGGAAGCAGAGTGTGAGGGTCAATGTCAGGACTCTTAACAGGGAGAGTGAGGTCAAGGTCAATGTCAGGATAAACACCTGTTTGAAGAGTAAATTTAGAATGAGGATGAGTAAGAAGGGGAGGGGAGGGTCTTGTTTAGAGTCCAGGACAAGGCCAAGATGAAGCTGAAGGTCAGGGTGAGAATGAGTGTGAAAGTCAAAGTCAAGTGTGAGTCAGGTCCCAGTATGAGGCTTAGGGACAGATTTAGGGGGAGAGTCAGGATCAGGGTCATGGTGATGTTCAGAATCAAAGTGAGAGGGGGCAGATGAGTAGGAGGTTCAGGGTCAGGATGAATATGGTAGTGAGATTGAGTCTGAGCGTATCGTTCATGATCAGCGTTAGTGTCCTGGTCAAGGTCATAGTTAGGGTTAGGATCAGAATGACTGTCAGGGTCAAAAAGAGTCTGGTTCAGTGTGCAAGTCG